CTCTATCATCATATATTACTATTCACATCTTTATAAACAAAATTAGTATAATGCAGGAATTTTAATAGTTTTTAATTTTTAAAAAACATACAATATGGCTCGTGATTTTAGTGTGTACGGAATAAAAATATAAAAATACACAGGATATTTTTGATTTTGATAAATGTACATGCTAACTAATTTGTACAGCTTGTACTTACTTATTATTATATAATTTTTTTTTTTTAGTGTACTAAACTTTGAAACATGGCTCTGAACATAATCCAACTTTACATTCTTCTCACCAAATTTGAGTCTCATTACATATTTTTTTCCCCATTGTTGTCTTTTTTTGAGCGACACACAGCACATTGCCTTCTAGTTTCCTTTTTTTTTTTTGCTATAGGATTTGGTTGTGGCTTGCAAATGCTTCCCTGCAAGGCAAATAAAGTTCATACTATCATCACTAGACCATACAGATGAGCATATAGCAGAAGAGTATTTGTCAAAGATTTCCTCTTACAGCTAACTTGAGATGAAGAAGATTTTTTCCTGTTTGTTAATTTTCTGTATATTATATACGAATTCTACGTTACTTGATCCAATATGTGAAAAAATATTGTCTTGTAATGTATCTGAAGTTGTTTTGGGGTACTAGAGTAGTACATCTCCTAATCAACACCACCCATTGCAAAGTTATAATCATAAATTACTTTTGGCATTCGTTTTTCTTTTGCCGTCTGTGAATAAACTGATACAGATGGTGCATCAAGAACTGAGCATATTTACTATTTTCTTATCATTCAACTTTAGCACCATAACTTTTCCATGCTGATATTCAATGCATTGTGCAAGTCCTTTCTAGTACTACAAAAAATTTCATGTATGTCTGTTTTCTTTTGTTGATATGTTGAGTTTTCAAGTGTGAAATGCATGCCTTTTCCGAAGTAGGTTTACATAACATGAAAAATTTTATTCCAAACATAGAGCATTTTAGAGGAATATACTGTTTCCATAAGAAATGACTGTTATAAAGCATTAGGGATTCATCTACACTAATCTGTTGTTTAGGATTGTTTCACAAAACTTATTCCTAATATTTTCAATGACATCATAAACTTTGCACTACTTAGGGCAAGGGTGTGTTGGAGGGTCATAACTTTCGTTATCAACAAAATGAAGATTTCTCTTCAAGATGTAAAAATGACCACATGACATTATTTGAAAATATTGGTTTTCTTATAGATTGCCTTTCTGACCAATACCAATGATAATTTTTTTTAATACTATCCGTTGCAAAAATAAAAGTGCAAAAAATAACATCATTTTGTCAACATTTGTCGGCTACCATGGCTTACACTTCTTTGAAAGTTTAGGCTTAGCAGGATGTTGAGATGCAAATCTATTAGTTTCATGTACTACAAATCAAGTAAGTCCTTATCCACAAATAAACTAAAAAGCTAGTGTTGTATCTTAATTTCGTCATTCCACTGAAGAATATGCATTCATACTTTATATCAAAATATCTGCATGATGTATTTTAATATGTTAAGGCAGCTATTTAAACTTTCCTCTAAACCCTTTAGAATGATAACAGCATCATCATTTTGGTATCCCATTTGCTTTATGCTCATTGTTATATCATGGAAGTGAGAAGTAAATTACTGTATATCTGTATAATTTTAACCCTCTGAAGATTTTGAGGAAGGTAAGGTATTGCTTTGTAAAAGCATCAGCAGCTTTGTCAACAAAGCTTTTGAAAAGTGTGGAACGTTTCTTTCACTGAATGCACCTAAAGCATTAAACAGTTTTCTTAAACCCCCAAACACCTGCAGAGAATCATCAGATGAACTGATTAGTGTTAGCTGTAAAAGTATCAATCACTGTCAGAACTTTGACCTTCGGGAGTTTTCAAGAAGTAGCGCTTAGAAAGTTATACGACTTATAAGTAATTGTTCGCTTTAGTTTAGGATTTTGTTACCAAATGAAAATTTTGTGGGAAACTGAAAATCAAGACTTTCAAAAAAAAAAAAAAAAAAAAAAAAAAATAAAATAATAAATTTTTTTCTCTGTCCATAAACCTGCATTTTTATTGTATATATATGTGTGTGTGTGTGTTTGTATATATATATTTAAATTTTTATGGACATTCTATGTGCATATGGCTGTAATATCAAAATATTTTTGTGTTTCTAATAACCTTCACTTTAGTTATTTAATTTACCTCTTATGTACGATTGCTTGCCTAGGATAAAAGGAATATGTTCTCACCGAAACAATATTTTCAATAGTTCCTAGGATAGTTTGCTTTTTTTTAATAAAGTAAACTATCTTGGGAACTTAAAATTTGTTTTTTTATTTGCAACTTTGGGTATTTTTGATCCAGAGTTGAAACTACGGATATAAATAATATCTCGCAATTTACGTGATATAATGATAGAACTAATTAACTGAACATGAAGTAAAAAACTTGTTTATTTGCTAATCATAATTACAGACGTCTTAAATTTTTATCATGCAGTTTTCCACTTTTGTGTGAATAGCAATAAGTAAGGAAGGCTGCGAGTTTATTAATTTTCCCATAATGACATTGTTTTTTTAAAGAAAATCTAGGAAAATATGAGTACATTTTACTATTTCACTACTTATTTTTTTGGGGGAAGGCTGAGAGCAAATAAACAGTTGCTGTTAAAAATCTTAGTGTTGAAAAATTATAACAGCATTAATGGGAGAAAAAAAATTGGATTTTGATGGGTTGATTCTTATGGTTTTGTTAGTCTGTATGCCTTTAATTCTTTCTATCTATATATAGAAAGAATATACATATATAGAAAGAATTAAACAGAGACACTAATGCTCATGATGCTTACATATTTTTTATTTAATTTGATTATGGCAAAGCACTCTAAAGTTATCTACATAAGAGTAGGGATGTCTTTGTGGAGGAATTTCTGAGGGAAACTCTTGTATAGACATTGCACATGGGGAAAACAAAGAAAATGCCTACGCAGTGAGCTCGTTTGCCGGAACTCGAAGTCGCCAGAAGTCTTTTTCATCAAAGGTACCATATACAATATGTGGAATGACTTTAAGCATATTGCTTTATTTATTGGAAGCATATTGCTTTTCATTCTTATCATCCCTCCTCTAATTTTCAACGCATATCCTGTCCTTTCTTCTATTCATTTTACATTACCCCTTCTTTTCAACGTGCACCCTATATGAAAATGCTCAATCTGTTTTTAGAAATAGAGGCCAAACATTTCTCAGTATCATAGGAGAAAGACATTCAGCAGAATGGAATTTTACTCGCAGACATGTAAGAATGCATGTCTGTGAGTAAAATTCCATAGGAAAATCTGCAGAATGCTTCAATTTTATGATAAAATACCCTATTTGCCTGCATAATAGTCGCAATTTTTTTGCTAGTTTTTCATTGTGAAAGGTCTAGGTGCGACTATTATGTGGGAGAAATCTACTACACAATATTCTACACTTTTGACAATTTTTTCTGTTTCAAAACGGGTTTGCAACTATTACGTGAGTAAATATGGTGTGTGCATAATACTCTTTTGGAAAAAAAATCGAAGCTTTGTGAAGGAAGTGGTTGTTTTTGATGAAATCGATATGTGTATTGTTCATACACAGACAATAAAATGATTAAAAAATCAAGGTCATAGTACCTGTTCACGACTCGCAATCACCCATTGAGTGTTCAACTTAGTAGTTGGTCTAAATGCCCCTGGTGGCAATGCATGCTTGAATTCGTCGAGGCAAGGAGTAGTAGAGGTTCCTAATGTCGTCTTGCGATACATTCTGCCAGGAATTCATCAGTTGTTGCTCCAGATCTGCGATAATTTTGTGGTGCCCGAATCAGGCGGCCTACCATGTTCCAGACATGCTCGATTGGTGAGAGGTCTGGTGACCTTGCTGGCCAAGGAAGAGTATCAACCGCACAGAGACAGTCGAGAGATATATGTGAGGGGTATGTGGCGTGGCATTATCTTGTTGGAAATGGCCCCAGGATGACGTGCCATGAAGGTTAATGCAACCGGCCGCAGGATGGTATCAACATATCATTGAGCTGTTAAAGATGCACGGAGGATGACTTAAGATGACCTTCTGTCATAAGAAATAGCACTCCACTGAATCATACCACGGGTTATAGCTGTATGCCCTTTGTAAAACAAAGGCTGATTGGGACCGCTGGCCCTGCCCTCTCCAGACACGAAAACGATGATCATCTGCTTCAAGAGTGAAGCAGGATTCATCGCTAAACACTATACGATGCCAGTTTGATGGCAGCCATGATGATCAGCTGCGACGCCACTCCAGACAACTCCGCCGATGTTGTGGGGTCAAAGGCAAACATTTTAAAGGCCTCTGTAAGCAGAACCCCGCCTCAGACAAGTGCCGTGAGATGGTGGACGGTACCATGGGAAGTATAGACGTGTCTGTAGTTCGTTGAATGGTTGACAATAATACCGTTGGAGCGGTTCGGTCCTGGCGATCAATCATCATATCTTGCATCGCATTTGTGTTCCTTGGCCTTCCAGAGCCAGAGCCTTCATTTCATCGGCAATTTCCTTGTAGCGACCATTGCTGCCAACATCTTTGCACAACAGTGTCTGTACACTGCAGATGGCGGCCTACTGCTCAATATGACCACCCAGCTTCAGGCAACCCTACAATGTGGCCACATTCGAAGTTCTTTAGTTGTTTGTAAGGTTTTGATGATCATCGTTATGGCATCTATAGTTTCTTTAGGAAATTACAATGGCAGCAACCAAAAAATCCCTGTTCGCTTTGAAACTTTGATCATTTGCATGTTCGATTAAGGTGTTTTTGCATACCAAATTTCGCCACAATCGCAAAAGTCCTTTTAGGTGCTTCGATTTTTTTTTTTTTTTCCAAAGAATGTATATACCAGGGGTGGCCAACCTGCGGCTTGCGAGCCACATGTGGCTCTCGATAAATGTACCCGAGTTCCCTTTTCATTTTTGTGTTATTATATTAAAAAAAATTATTATCGTTCTGTATGTGTTTCAAAATGTCTTTTAAATTACAGACAACAAATATGAAAGACTAAGTGCAATGTTGCATCAAATTTCATTTCTGTCCAAGTTAAGAATGATATGGTTCATCGAAAACTGCACGAACAAACATAAACAATGGCGTAACAGTTCCGTTCATCAGATTTTCTTCCCCTTCAACTGCCTCGTGAATTATGAGAAACATAAGGGAGTCAAGGCCTTGTCCGGCCAATTGCTCCTCGGCGAATGACAAACTACGATTCACGTAATCGACAAACTCAGATTGATTTTGAATTTGTAAACTTTCATTGCAACGGACAGTTGACATTGTGCTGTGGAGGAAACAATTTGTATCACTCTTGCTACAGATATAATTTGTAATCTGGAATTTTTGGTAAGTTAACTAAATTTGTTTCATAGTGTGTAACACATGTTGTTATTGTTTTAATAGCACAAAACTTGTATTTTCTAAATTTATGTATTTATTTCCAGTTCTTTTAAAAATATGACGACAGAAAACGAAAATAAAAAAGAAAATACGTGCAAGGAAATAGAAGTTTTAATAATGAGTGGGAGGAGAATTTCTTTTTTATTGACAATAACGGAAAAGTATTATGTGTTATTTATAGTTCTGCGGTCAAAAATTATAAAGCTAGAAATTTATGTCGACATTATGAAACCAATCATCCTCAGTTTTCTAATCAGTATCCACCTAATTCCAAATTAAGATCAGATAAACTTGCTTTTTTAAAATGAAATTTAAATACACAACAGTCAATTTTGATGACCTTTAGCAATCAAGCTAATAATGTGGCTGAAGCCAGCTTTGTTATTTCCTGGAATATTGCTTGTGCAAAATGCCTGTATGGAGAGGGGAGAGTTTATTAAAAAAACTTGGAAGATGTACTTAGAATTTTAGATCCAAATAATGCCGCATTCCACAAAGTTGTTTCGCAAATTCTCGTCTCGAGACATGAAAACCGAATGATGCATAACTGCAATTAATACATTTCTTGAATATAATTAAAAAAATTATTTGAAGAACTGTATTTCTTTCAGCTGAGCCCTTGGAGAAGCGACAGATATCACAGATCTTCCACAATTGGCAGTTTTCATACGTTTTGTTTCACCTGACTTCGTTATTAAAGGAGAATTATTAGATTTAGTACCTCTTCAAGAGTCAACCCTTGGTGTCAATATTAAAAATGCATTGGATTCCATAATGAATCTTATGATGTGCCTCTTAATAAACTTGTAAGCATCGCAACTGATGGAGCTCCGGCAATTCTGGGTAAAAAAAAAAAAAAATCTGTTTTATTGGGCTTTTAAGAGATGATTCTCAAATTTCACAATTCATACCAATTCACTGCATAATTCACCGAGAACATCTTGTTACAAAATATTTAAACTATCCTGATGTTATGAAAACAGTGTTACACATTGTAAATTATATTCACACCAATGCAAAAAATCGTTGACAATTAAAAAATTTCCTTGAAGAATTAAAGGACGAAGAACTTCCAAATGACATTAATTTCTTTTCCATTATTACTTGGTTATCTAGCTATGACGTATTAAATTGATTTGTAGATTTGTTTGATCAGATAACTGCATTTCTAAAAGAAATGGAAATAATCTATTCAGAATTAGACGATGACGAGTGGTTACAAGACTTAATGTTTTTGACTGATGTCATGGAACAGACAACCTTAGACAGTCCTCCATGAAGGCATCCCTCCTTTGGCAGATAGCCCTCGGACACTTTGCCGAATAAACCAAACCAAAAAGGATTATTTCAAACGAAGCATAGATATTAAATTTTAAATAGTCCTGTTTTGTTCTTAGGCTGTGAAATTATTTTAGTGGACGGGAAGGAAGGATACCATAAAAACTGAACATAAAATTTTACTGAGATGTGAAAACTGATTTCAAGGAATAATGCATGTATTGGCTTTTTTTAGTAAAACCCCAATCGTAAGTATTAACTAATGAATTTAAAAATAAATGATAATCAGTATCTAATTTAACATAGCACATCAGTCCTTAGTCGTAAATAATGCCTACTAGCAGCCGAGTGGTAATGTCACTGAACACTAGTAGTTTGACCTGGAATTGAGTTTTCCCTATGTGTAACGTGAATACGAGCCAGTTTCCTTTAAAAAGTCCCCCATGAAGCCATCCCTCTCCAATCACAGATAGCCCTCCTTTGTCTTAATCAATTAACCATAGTTGTAAATAAATTGTTTTCCCTCTGAAAGTCCTCCATGAAAGTTAAAGTTGTCTATTTATCTTTATCTGAACATCTAATTGTGTCATTTCAAATCTTGTTCCAGACAAAGAATCGGAAATTCTTATTTCCTTTTTCGATTTTTTTTTGCATCGCCCAGATCATTATCATATTTTTTCCACATTCGTTTTGACGATTTTTATTTTTTTATCACTTACGCCTGTCCAGTCTGGGACTATGTGTGCAAAACTCATATGCTGAAAATACAACAAAGTCAAAATGTAATGTTGAGAATAATTTCCAATAGTCCTTGGTTCTTTAGGAACGAGGCAATACACAATGAGCTGAACATTGAAAGCATTAGCATTCACATTGCAAAAATTGCACGAAAGTTCTTTAACAACATCGAAAAAGTTAATAACAGTTCCATCCCAAGATTAAATTATGATTACACCAGCGAAATAAACAAAAAAAGACCCGGAGCAGTTCTCTGGCACTTAATTTAATTGTATCAGCTGTTTAAAGTACTGTAATTTGCATTTCTATGTTTATTCTACTCTTAAAAGCACACACACATGTGTCGCCATCTGTATTTCAGAACGTGAAACACTAAATTTTAACATCACTACCTTGTTTTATAAAAAATTCCTCTTGTATATTTATTTAAATACTTATTTCACAACACATTAATTGATTAGGCCAACTTATTTCAGTTCAAGATCTTTTTACTTGACATTATTGTATTTAAACCCTAAAACTTTTCTTAATTTTATATAAATTAAAATTACTCAGGATTTGCATTAAATTAAATCTTTAAAGTTTGCCCCCATCAATGCCTGATGAGCAAGAAAATGCACTCTCTTTCCAGGACACCCATTGGCTCACATGACCAGTAGCTCCTCCCACCCCTCCATGGACCTGCCCTGCAGCTTGTTTCTCACTCATTTGAGCGCCGGAAGTTGAAGCAGTAACTGTTACGCTTATCTCTCCTGGATGGACATTCTGACTGTACGATTTGTGTATACGCAAGGCTCATGAATTGCTTATCATCAGGAATTGCTATTGCTTATCTTAACCAATGCCATAATACTACGCCCACTGAATCTTCTTGAGGAAAAATTTTCCTCAGTTACAAACTTCAACATGTTATGCCAGGAAAGATATGCTTATCTGCACATATTCTGCACAGGATGTGGCTGTCCCAACCTAGGAGCCTGCTGAAGTGCCCAGCACCTGAGCCTTTGACGATTTTTTAAAAAGCTATTTACATTTTTCTTCTACTTACAGTTATTTTTTATAAATATTTACTCTAACCTGCTGAGAGTTTTATGTCCCAACCATTTCAAAATTTGGAAATAAGCACATCTTCATAACAGTAAAATACTGACAATTAAATGTGATTTGAACACTTTTTATTAGATAACACTTTCAGTAAAGTGGAAGTATTTTGCTTGCGGTAAAAAATGCATCATATGATTTAATCTACTTTTAGTACTTTATTTTGTTAATGCCAAAAAGCAATTTAATCTTTACGATATTATTTGTGAATGATTTTCATATTATGCCAAGAAAATTTCTCAGTAGTTCTTTTTAGACATGAAATCAGAAGAGTAAAACAAAATTTTTTTTAAGGAAACGCACGTTGTCATCATATTTCAATGTATAATTTGCCCAAACTTCATATTCGCACAACTAAATTTCGATTCAAACCTATAAATGACACATTAGTTTAAAATGGAATTACATGATTCAAAAATTTCATTTTCATTTCAGCACAAGTATTGAAAATACATATTAAAGTTACTGTATTTGCAAACTGTTATAGTAGTTTAAAAAATACAGTTTTTTAAGTCAATGCTCACAGCTAAAAATAAAAATTATCTCAAATTTTTATAGCTCTGCGGACATTGTAAGATACCTGTTTAAGTATTTATTCTATGGTAAAAGAAATTATTTGTAAATTAGGTGATGCTAAATTCTTTGATTGTTATTCATCGGTTCCATGCAAATTACATTTACTTTTGCAGAAAAAAATTTGTTTCATAAATTTTTTGCATACATAAAGCTTTTGGTTGAAGCCTTTTCAGTATTTTCCAATTTTGGCACGAAAATTGCGCTCAGGTCAGCAGATGGTACAGCTGGATTTGAGGTTCCTATTTATGACCCTCGCATTATAACATCTTTCTCTAATGATTGCTCTTTCCCCACTACCAATTAACCGCAACAGGAGGTCAGGAGAGCAACAGTACAGAATATTCCGTCCTCAACGATTTCGGGCAGGAAAATGTAAGGCAGAAAAAATCGTTTGAAACGATTTGGGATCCATCAAGATCTGACAAAAATATTCTGTTCGTAATGATTTGGAAAGCTACCTTTCAATGTGGAATAATCCGTCGGTAACGTTGAGAGGGTTAAAGGAGAGCACACTGTATTTTTGGTGTCTGGTCCCAAGCTGAAATCAAAATTTCTGGTGATTAAATCAAATTCTTCAGAAGCACAGAGCACAATAATTAATAGTTACCACCCAAACTCGTATTTCATATGCTGGCACTTCAAATTGATATCTATACAGACTACTATCAGCATTCAAAAGAAATAGTATCTATTAGCTTCTTTCATATTTATTTAATCAGGTCTATAATTAATATGAATTTGGATAAATCTGTGTATAAATATTTTTTTCCATGGGCAGGATAAAACTTGCTAAATTTTAAAATAAAAAATTTATTTTTTAAAGGATATATTTTCATGAAATTAATGCTAATATTAAAATATTAGATCTTTAAATGTTTTGGCTAGAAACATTATTTTGTTGCTATTAATATTTATTTGAACCAAATTTACCTTTGAAAGTTAGGAATTTAATTTGGCATTGTAACTATTAGTTTTTATATTTTTTAAGTGTAAATTTTCAAAAACACATGAACATAGTTACATGTAGTACTTGATGAAGGGACATTATCATTACAAATGAACATGGGACACAAACCTTTATGATAATGCATCATCTTTTACAAGTAATGCATATTTGAATTTTTCAGTGCAACATCATACCTTATATTGATTTATAAACTCATTTTTTCTTTGCAAATCAAGCACAACTTTAGCACTACATTCTGTGGCAATTTAGAATACTCTCAAACTCATAATGAATTGGGAATTTAACCAGAGTATTTTCTGAATTCTAGATTGGGGGTTGTATTTAATTGTTTGATTGTGGGTTGCTGCTCTAATTTATTCTTTCCATGTTTCAGGGAAGAGGATTCTGAAGAAGGTGCCATTTCGACATCGAGACGTATCCTTTAAATTTGTAAACTCTAGGACTTTTATTTATTTTCTGAATTTTTTTGATTTAGTTCTTCTGTAATTGTAAAATACTATTGAGTTGCAGGTTCATGAATTGAGTATTAAATGTTATTAAAGAGAATGTTAGGCTAAAATGATGTGTTAGCTGCCCTGAATTTGATCCTCATTTAAGATTAAGTACAGTTCACTCCTGATTATCCGCAAAATTGGGTGGCGCGGACGCCGCAGATAATCCGAAAAAAGCTAAATTTGGGTATAGCAAAAGAGAAAACAGACATTCCAAGTTTGAAAAATCGTTTTATGTACAATAAAATGTAAAATAAACAGCACGAAATGTTTAACTTACACTTCATATTTTAGTATATCACTCTAAACTGACCTAAAATGCATTTTTGTTAATGAAAACAGAAAAGTGCTTTGTACTTAGGAGAGGCGTCAAGGATACACAGAAAAATTAATAATAATAATACTATGTAATATGAATAATACTATGTAATTACAAAAGCATAACTGTAAAACTACACCTTTTTAAAGAAATCAGTCATTTGTGTTTGCTTCTTGCTTTGGAAGCATTTTTTCTTGATCCGAGATTGCATTTTTCGTAGCATAAGTTTCTCGGCCAACTCCACGTCGTCTTGTTCTTCCAAATAGCTCAGCAGTCCGTCGACTTGTTGCAAAGCCGCTTCGTGAGTCTTCCGCATCTGCACAGTGGGCTCTTCTTCGCCTTCACTTCGCTCTCCTTCATTCTCGGTCTCTCCCCTTGCTTTCTTCACAATTTCGTCATCTGTCAAGCGTTCGAAGCCAGGTTCGTTGACGTCACACTCCAACCACTCGTTAATGTTTTCAGCATCGATGTTCTCACCACCCGGAAACTGTTTTCACCATATCGGCAAGAGTTGCCGTGGGCGTGTCTACATCTTCATTCTCTTCTTCACAACTCAAAGGGGTTAGGTTGTTGTTGACTTCAACATTAGGCATGAGTTTTCTCCATGATTTTATGAGGGTTGACGGTTTCACTGAGTCCCATGCAGATGCAATATCGTAGATGCTGTCCAAGATTGTGTAGTGTTTCCAAAACTCTTTCAGATCATAACCTTCTTCAATTTTGGTCATTAGCAGCTTGGTTCGGTATGTTCTCTTCATTGTTGCAATGACTCCTTGGTCCATGGGTTGGATTAGCGCAGTAACGTTTGGGGGGAGAAACTTTGCAAAAATTTGTCCATCAGAAGACTTTAGCACGCTTGTTGCTGGGTGAGAAGGTGCGTTGTCGATCACAGCTTTTTTCAGGCAGGTTTTTTAATTTAAGATGTTTACGCACTTGAAGAACAAAGATTTTGTCGAACCATTCTTGAAAAATGTTTCGGTTCATCCATCCTTTTTTTTTTTGGTTAAAGTAATCAACGGGCAAATTTTCTATCCTTGTGCCTTTGAAAGATCTCTGTTTTTTTGACTTTCCAATGACAAAAAGTCTAAGTTTATGTCCACTGGTAGCGTTACTTGAAGACATGATAGTGATCCTTTCCTTGCTGCTTTTATGACCCGCCGCTTTACTTTCACTTTCAAATGCTAAAGTGTGAGTGGGAAGACATTTCCACAAAAGTCCCGATTCGTCGGCATTGTAAATTTGTTCAAAAGATAGCTCTTCTTTTAAAAAAAAATTCTTCAAATTCATGGTGGAAATCGTCGGCTGCTTGTTGGTCACCACTAAGTTTCTCCCCATGAAGTCCAATTTCTCGAATTCCATGTCGCTGCTTAAAACGAGTCAACCAGCCAGAAGACGCATCAAAATTTCCTTTCAGGCCTAACAACTCAAAAAAGGTTTTTGCCTTCGCTGCAATGATAGGACCATTTACAGGAGTACCCTCTTTTCGAACTTGAGCTAACCACTCTGTCAATGCCGTGTCTAGCTCATCAAAGGTAGAACCCTTCATAGTTTTTCACGTTTTCATTGCGGAAGCACTGTCCGACATTGATGCAAAGTTCACCAGTTTGTCTTTTTGCTTTAGAATGTCACGCACTGTTGTTTCCGTAATCCAATTCCATCTGCTGCCTTGTAGCGCCGTTTTGCTACTTTGTAGTTTTTGCGCAATCGGCAACACAACCTTCTTTCATTTTCCTGACATTTTAAATCGGTAACGAAAAACACAAAACCAAAAAGCACAAGCACTGAACACAATAAAAGATAAGAAATTAACTCCAACTGGTTCGCAAACACTATCAGGCTTAAACTAACAATGGCGAGTGGGAGGAAGTGGACGTGTCAGTAAGATTAAGACGAGAGAGGGCGGTGGAGCGGGCACTGCAAGGGTGAGTAAGAAATCACTTACTCATCAGAGGGGAAGGTTCCGAGAAGGCCTGGGATATTTTTGCCATAAATAAGCACGATGTTAGCAAATTTAACGTTTCGCTCAGTTTTGTGAACATTTTTATTTTCTTTGCTTTACACTTGTAAAAAAAAAAAAAAAACTGTGTGGCAGGCGCGGATAATTGGGAGTCTACTGTAACTGTGCCTTGTATAGTGTAAAGTTATCATTAAAATTTTAACAGCAGGAAGTTCTTAGGATACAGTCAGCCTGACTAATGGCATCATATAGTTACAAAGGAGTATAATAATATTTAAATATTTAAATTCATATTTTTAATTAATAGTAGTAGTAATTAAATTAATAGTTTATTTTGCATTTATGAATAAATCAGTGTTAGTATAAACATTTTCTTGCCACATCTTTACACTAGTTTCAAAACTGTGGCTCGTAAGTCGGTATAACATTTTAAAAGTTACTATATGTGTCAGATTTCATAGCTGTTGCAGAATGTGTCCAGTAGAATTTTGTTAATCCGCACTCCTTGGGTCCAAGGATGTGTAGATAAGAGACTTTAATGGATTGTAAGTCATGTCGTTTTGAATTTTATTCATATTTCTGTTCAAATTCTTGCATCAAATTTGTATTATTTGCACATAAGCAACTACCAAAACATATACGTTCTTTACGAATTACTTAATCATGATTTACAGACTGCAACACTATTCTAATTTTAAACTACAATTATATGTAAAGAAAATAATGCGAGTCAAGGAACAACAACAGTGGAGAGAAATGGGATAAATAAGACGGAAATATTTTGAGGAAATAAAGAACTCTAGTAAACATACATCAAAATACTGTATGTGAGAAAAAAGGTATATTTGCCTTATAAAGGAAAAAAAAAAAAAGAATGGAATGTGCGTTAAAAAAAAAAGAATGGATACTTATATGAATGCACTGCTTATCAAAATCTCAGTGTTCAGGGTTTTCTCTAAATTTATTATGTTCACTAATTCCACCATTACATGCAGGAATTATCAACATTACTAGTAGGTGGCATAATTAAAATTTTTGGTTTGTTAGTGCTCTTATCCCATTTTTCTGTATTGTGTTTTCCAACTTTTGTAACAAGAAAACCTCTAAGTGTTGTTTTTTGGTAAGTTATCCCTATTAAAAACTGGTGTAAACAAGCAATACGAAAAATAAACAAAGCAGATATGAGGGGCATATAAGTTAAACTCAGCACCTGAAAAGTTATGTGCAGATAAATTATTTATACTCACTAACTGCATAAATTAAAAATGAATATTAAAAGCCAAAAGAAATTACATCCAAAAGTAGGAAATGATCTAAAACAAAATTTGCAGAGTTTTTCGGTCTGTGTTTGTTATAAAACAAGAGCTGTGGTATGCTTACAAATCATGCTAAATACTGGAATTAGATAAAACTGCATCTTTTCGTTTTGGCATAGATATTGATCAAAACTACATGAAAAATGTGTTTTCACATTTCATTGCTATTTTTCTGGGCAGATGGCACTATGCTCATTGTTTGCTGTTTTCCTCCTTTTGTTTCTGGTATAAATACAATCATCACTTCACTTTTTTTTTCTTTGCTAATTTTTTTTTTTTTTTTTTCCTGGATGAAGAGGGATCTATGCCTGATTGTCATTGAAACAAAATAATTTTGTTCAAAATCTGCCAAATATAAGGTTGCTGCCTAATTTCAGTTTTACATTAGCATGTTCTTCTCTCTCAAAATGCTAAATAATTTTAGTAATGAGATTAATTTGTTGCTTTAATAAAAATATCTTATAAATGCAATGTATTTTTGTTATAAAGTTTATTTGTATATCTATATAATAAAAAGGCACAGTTAAATTTATCATGCTGAATTTTCTATGAACTAAAAATTATTTTATTTACATTCAAAAGCACACGGATTACAGGCATTTGCGTATTATCAGAATTCTGCAGTAATATATGAAGGAAAAGTGTATTCTTTTTAATAACCTAGAACAATGGCAGCACTTATTTTAATACAGTTAATAATAATGGGGACAAAAGTTTAGCACACATTGTTTCATCACACTTGTTTTCATTCTTTGTAGAGAAGTATCAGAGTAATGAAAATAACTGTACGTGTTTTTCAGATTACTGTATTAATCTTTATTCTAATAAAAGGCTTTTTATTGCAATGTTCTGAAATCTTTCGATTTTACTTTATTCCTAATAAAATCTGCCAACATTTAGAATCAAGAGGATGGAAATCACAAGAAAATGCTTGTTTCTATCTAAAACATTTCCAGTGGGTAAAAGTTTAGAATGTTTATATTGTAAAAACATCCTTTTCCAAACAGAGTAAGAATAATAATTTATTGCTCATAAATTAGCACATAACTAAGGAATACAAAACTGTTTTGCTAATTTTAAAATGATATAAATAATAGAGATATTAGAAAATATGATTGTGACTGTTGATTGTATCTTCATTCAGATATATTAATTCCCATGAACCTTGATTTTATTATGGTCACTAATGCATAGTGATGTTCAGTTATGGTCACTTATGCACAGTTTCATTTGACTATTTTTTTTATCAAAATATGAGTCATTGTGATGATTTCTTTAAAATAAATTTCTGTTTTGTTCAGCCACCTACTGCATTTTTTCCAACATCGTCCAGTTATTCTTTGCTTATCTTCCCTTCAAAAATGCTTGCAAGCTTACAGTAAATGAGACATTGATACAACATAAGTTAGCTTTCTTCTTTAATATATAATGTGCCATCCCCTAAAGGACACTTTTAAACGTAATGAAACTTACTTTTTTATTTTACAGGAAATCAGTCACTTTCATTGCACCTCTACATACTGCCATTTATCAGATATGTGAAGTGCTGCTATTCATATTTGATAATTATATCCTGTATGTGATTATTATGATTTCAGTGTTGGAGGCATAGTAAGAAAAGTGACTACGTGGTCTGTGGTTTCTTCTTCCTGACCATTTGCTTCTTAGAGAATGGGCAGTGATGAACAATGGCATGCCTTCTCGCAAGCATGATTATGCAGTAAACATGTTCCTCACATCTGATCTTAAATGTCATTCATATGGAAATAAGTATTCTTATTCTAATATATATAATCAGTGTTAAAATATGCCATTAATGATTTCCATAGCAAACTTTCAGAGTGTAAACATTGAGATACCTTTAGCCTGCAGGATATAATATTCAAAAAGTGAACATGACTTTGTATATTTTGCAAATGGCAATGTCTAAGGATGCAGTGGATGCATTTGTGATTTCTTGTCTATCAGAAATAATGGTTTAATTGCATTAAAAGTATGTTCACCTGCAATGCCTTATATTTTCAAAGTTGCTCCTATTTGAACTTTTTTGTGTGGGCTTGGTTTTAATTAAAAGAGAGTTTCATTATTATTATTTTATTAAATTATGCACATTGTACTACCTAGTATCATATATCAGTTGATGCACTATTATTATATTATATATTCACTGTTCATTATATATCTGAGTCGCATATATAAATCCCTGATATAGATAAAATTGATGTATTATTGAGACATACTTGAGAAATTTAAATTTGTCTTATCGCTGTAATGAATTTTTTTGAGCAAGAAATACATTTGATTAACTTTAATGTTTGCACATCTTCTTACTAAATTAATGCTATGAGCAAGAATCACACACTTGAAATCTTTATGCCATACTTATTATAAAGTAACTGCAGTGACTTTTTTATTAGACCTAGAAACATGCTCTGTTTAAAGCATTTTTTAAAATTTCAGTTGGGTATGTAGTTTACTTATCACTATCAAAGGAAAAGGAATCGCCTTATATTACCGAATCTAGTTATATAGTTCACAGAATTCTAGAGATGAGCAGCTGAAGATATTTTGTACTTGGCAAAATGCTACTTGACTGATTTATTCACATTAGATGATTATTGCAAGCAAAGACAATGACCTTTCAGTGGTTGGGTTCCATTCTTAATACCTTGAGCTGTGAAAATTATATTTTGGCAGTTATTTATTATTTCTGAGTATTTTTGTCTTCTTTTCATGTGATACTCTTTTTGGATATGTGTAATGTAGGATTCTCAGATGTATTCGATTGCCATTGTATGTGATAAGAAAAGTATCCAAGATTTCAAATTGTGTTCAGAGTCATATGTGCTCATAAGCTGCTGAAGTTTTGAAATTTCCATGGTTAACTTATCATTTTAAGGTGTGAGGTGTTAGATTTAGAATTAGAGAGCAATCTAGGAAAAGTTGTAATTTACTGAATACAGTGTTGTGTGTTAGGATAAACTATTACAAATGACAAGAACTGGCTGCATTATCCACCAGTGGCTGAGCTGTAAAGTCAGCTCTATGGTGGAACGTATCGCATATTGAGCTTGGAAGTGACAATCTTCCTATGTATGTTTGGATATGTGGTAGTTATGGTATTGAGCCACTGTGCCCTTAATTTTGTACTTTGCCTTTGAACTTTTAAATTGAAGTAACTCATAAGTGTGACTAGAATCAGTCATAAAAATCAGGTGGATTTAGAAAATTGGCTGAGATCTGTAGTCTGAATTACAATACGTATTGAAGTAGTAGCAGTTGCAGTACATATCGAATTGAGTAGCAGTTAGTCTGAATTGCAATACATATTGAAGAACATATTTGGATCAATTCTCATTTGAAAACCTTTATTCAACAACAGGTAGATACTTTATTGATCATTAGCTTGATAGATTAAAATCCATGAGTGTTTAAAGTAACATGTAACTAATTATAGTTTAAACAGGATATTAAAAATAAAATTCACTAGATGTATATTTTAGTACATTTACTCGTTATGCTGTAACTATTTTTATTTTTCTGTGCTTTTAACTGATTAATTTTGGCATTGCTCTCCTCAGAGTAATTCTATTTCAGTATCCGTCATTTAGAAATATCATCTAAATGGTAGGAAATTTTCATGCTTTTCAAACGTTTAGTTTGTAAAATAAAGCCGTGGCTAGATATTTTTAGTCAGTGATTTTGAACTATCAGCCCTGTTCTGTTTTGGAAATGTTAGCAGATTTCAACTTTTTAAAGTTAGGAATATTATTCTCCAGAAAGGTTTTATACACCTTTGCTGTTTTGGAAACAGCTTTCAGTTTATATATATACATATAAATATCCACTGAGTGTACATTTTATTTATTTATTTATTTTTAGTCAAGTTGTGTGCTTTGTAGAAATGAATTGTTAGTTCTTCATACCTGTTAAAATTACTTCTGAAAACTGTAATGATAGATAGTTTCAAATGGGCAAACTTGCAGCTTTCTAGTAATTATCACCAATTAGTGGAAAAACCACTTCTTCTTTTTCCACAAAAAGGTCGCTTGCTGTCGATTTGGCAAACATTACTGGCAACCATTTTCTGTCACTAATACATATTTAATAGTATTAATACAAAGTTTCTTTTCAAAATTAGAAATTAAAAATCTTTATTTTTAAATGAAATTTACAAACTTTGATTACATTTTATATCTTTATGGTAGTAAAATGCTCGACCTCTTATGAAGTACTGGGTTGATAGCTCAGTTCAGGTAGAGGTGCTGAAAGGAGTTGAAAAACTAGTTCCAAACTAAGTGTGATGAATGCCTGTATAAAGAAAATTGGGCCAAAATAATCTGCTTTATACCACAATCATTAACAATAAACATTATGTAGCAGTAGTTTATATTTGCAAAATAACTTGTTGATTTATAACATAAACTTCTGAATAGGCACACTAAATATCCATTATATGTGTATTTACGTGAAAAATATATTGAATTAACCTGGAACTTTCCCATAATTATTTTTTTTCTTCTGTTATTTCTGGATCTTTGATGCAGTAGTAAATGAAGTGTGTGTCAGTAATAAACTACCATAACACGCCCAGATGCTTCCCAAAACCAGAATGTAGAAGCTGTTATTCTAGCAGAAAGAGAAAGGCGTGATAAATTGAAATCTGAAGCAGAGAAAAAGAAAGCCGTGGAGAAAGTAAATCGTGAAAAGCAGCGACAGAAGCAGGAAGAGCGAAGAGAGAAGGAGCGGAAGAGAACACAGAAACGAGAGCATAGGCGATGAGTGTTAGTTGATGAATATACTCTTTTTATGCAGATATAAGTTATGAACTTTTGTGTATTTCAGCTGAAACAGTTCTAATGAATACTCAGTTGGAGTATGTTTTATGTATGAGCTGTGTGAAAATTGAAGTTGTGAAATTTTTTATATATTATATGTGTTTAATACATATGCATTCTGAAAAAGATTGTATTCATTTCTTCAGTTATACTGATTAACTTGCACAGAATACTTTAACAAGTATATAACATTTGAAAATAACAGGCTGCTATTTGTATTTCTTAGTTAAAACTAATTTGTATATAAATGTCTGAAAATTTTCCTTATTTCTTCGTCTATATATATAATGCACATAAGAATAGTTTCTTGGGTGATAGACAAGGTTTATGTGTGTAATGGGCATATATATACTCATATCCAGGTTATTTTTAAAAGATGGCTATAGCTTTTCTTTAATACTGATCGTAGACTTGTGCATCCAATTCCTCCCCCCAGTTAAAGGTAGAGATCTTCATGCAAAACTGAGATTGGGGGGGGGTCTGTAAAAACAGTGGTACCTCAGTACGCGTCCAGTATGTCCTTAGCATAAGCCTTGTTTGGATGGGAAAATTTTTGGGTATATGAACAAAGAGATTGTTCAAAACTGGGAAGATGACATGCATATCTGGGGCTTGGCTGTTGCATATTGTATGCCAAGTATGATAGTGTACATGGTTGTGAAAACAAAGATGCTATTAAATTGGCTAAAATTGTGAAGAGGATGAACTCAATTACAAAACGAAAATCAAAGGCATTAAAGTATGTTAAATAATTGCTTTTGTTCTGTATAGCAGGAAAACAATGTACGGTATTATGTGCTTCATTTATGTACAGCATGTATTTCACTCACTGCATTTATATTTTATTATTCAACAATATTAAAATAATAACAATGGTGTTTTTTATAAAAAAAAGATTAATTACTTTCCCTTTACTTCTAATTGGTAAAGTTAATTTAGTATAGGTTCAAGGATCTGGATTAATAATGTTATGCTAAGGTACCACTGTATGATGTTTATGAGCCCTTTCTAAAACAAAATTTCCTATTAGTAAAATATTCATTGTGTGTTAATAAGTTAAATGAAATATATATATATATATATACAGAATTCACCAAGCTATTTGAGAATGAATTTTTTGACTGTTTTTAACACTTGTCTTCAGTTGAAATTCCGCATCCTTAAAGCAAATTTAGGAAAGAACTATGAAACAGAATTCTGCATTGGATGAAACAGCATTCAATTTTAAATATTGCTGACCCAATGAAACGAAATTGTTCATAGCTATGTGTTTTGCGCATAAAATTATGGGAATTTTTGTATATTTAGATGCAGTATGTTTGAATTAAGATCGCATGATTAAGTATCTGAAACAGTTGGTCATAGACTAAGGATTCCAGTTTAGGAAATGAATTGGATAAGTTAGGCTTTCAGACTATGTCAGTTTTTATCAGTATTTTATTTAAATATAGAAAATTAAAATTTTTGTACAATCTTTGAGAAAGAAAATTTCATTTAGTAGGTTGTTGTTATGTTATTAAAGGTTTTGAGGGAAGAAAAAATTAATTTTTAAAATGCTAAAAGCCTTAAAATTTGTTGACATTATATGGCAGTTTTAAATTCTTTATTTAACATTCTTCTAATTTAACATTATATTACAAAATGGCAATATATGGCAATTTTAATTGTATCCTTAAAAGTTGTCAACATTATATGGCAATTTTAATTCAACTAAATGAGCAGCAAAAGGTATCAGTTTTTTTGACCATATAAAAAATAATTTCTAATAAACTCAAAATTCTAAAGTTTAGCATTTTTATAATAGTAATTTGAAATCAGTGCTTCTAAATTAAAGTGTTTCTAACATAAATGGTATTATTTTGAAATTTGTATCTGGAAACTTAACGTGTATTGTTAACTTAACATGTTATGTCTTTGGCAATATCATGAAAAATTTTGATTTCTAATAACTCAGAAAACTGATGGTATGAGAATTTACTCCCTTTCGATTTTGACTAAATCAGCAATGGAAAATTATTTTCTGATTGGCTTATTGTCCCCTTCAAAATTGTTTACAAATTTGTTTAATGTATTTATTTATACTTAATGGTATGACATGATCAAAAGACATTGTAATATTGTAATCTAAAGGTGTACTTTATTTGATGTATTTCTGAAATGCTAACAAACTGTTCAGAAGATCAATTTAATCTCCAGAAGACATTGTAGTCATACAGTCTTAAAAATCTTTTATAGCATGAAGGAACTGTGTACTTTATAACAGCCTCCAGAAATGCACTAAAAGCTGTTATTTATAAATATGCTCAGAGTATGAAGTTAAAAGGGAAGTATGTATATACAAGTAAATTTTAAGGTAAAAGAAGAAATATCTCTAATAGGCAAAAGCATTTAATAGGCGGAAATATTAAAAAAAATAGTACTTGTGTTATAAATTAAGCATTTCCGAGTCCGAAAAAGTCCATTAAAGAGAAAAAAAAGAAAATGCAACATTAATAAATTTAGTATTTTATTGCTTCTTGATAATATGTATACCATATTTACTGGCATATTCCTTCCTTTCCTTTTACTAATTTTGTCATGTGAAAAGGGAAAAATTGTGCATAATTTCTGAAGGATGTGGTTGCAGTAAAAATATAACAAATAAAAAGTATCCATGGTAACTATCACAATTATTTGTTTTAAAAAAAACTACACTCCAATATGAATGCATAGTTGCATTAATGTTACCAGTATCTAATGTCTTTATTTCCACTTCCTGTATTTTGCATCTCACTTGCTCACTCTATTGTTCTCCACTGCTACTCTGTAGACCTCAGTCATTAAATGTTACTGTCTGTGTCATCTGCTACACCTTGCAAGTCATTGCCGTTGTCTTCATCACCATTTGGTCCATCATGCCATATGTTGTGATTATCCAAGTGATCATGAACTTTAGATATCTCCATTTTCTTGAAGATCTTCACTATTATTGCTGCATCAGTCAGAACCCATGCATCCAAAATCCACAAACAAATCAGTAAAATGAAAACAATCACAATGTGGGCAAATCCATTTTAAAAGTTAGGGAAGCTCGTCTTCTGAATGCCTTGTGGAAGAGGAAAATTATTTGAGTATTAAGAAAAATTTCATAACTTTGTACTTTTAGTACAAGGAGAAAAATATTCAGGTAAATAAATATATATATATACATGTTGATAAGAAAAGGAGAGGTAAAAATTAGCTAACGCCGTAAAGAACTACCTAATTCCTGATATTACATGTAAAACAAAGTTAAAACAACAAAATCTTTTGACCATCTTTTTATGTGTAAAATTTCTCAGTATTATGTAAAGGTTTTTTCTCATACCAATTTTGATTTTTTTTGTACAGATTTTCTAATTTTTTTTTGTATAATAAGTAGTTTTTTTTTTTTTTTTTTTTTTTTGCTTACAATGTATTGCTTTAACTTAGATTCTGTTGTTTTACATGTAATATCAGGAATTAGGTAGTTCAAATGTTCTTTACTGCTTTAGCTAATTTTTACCTCTTCTTTTCTTGACAATCTATTTTGAAATTTGCAGCTCAATGCACAATTTTTGACCAACTAGGTCTCACATTTTTATGATTTACTACTATCTATCTATATATATATATGTATATGCATGTAGCATGTCAATAAAAACACTTAACTGGCTTTTGTTTCCACAACTGTTGGTTATAGATATATATTTCAGTTGCAAAAATATTTTCAATGGTGCAGATATTAAAGTTTTGGCATTTTTAAATTTTAAGAAAATAAATTTTTCAAAAAATTATAAAATCTTAACTTATGCATTCTTCTGGTTGAATATTTATACATTCTTCTGGTTGAATATGGGAAAATTTTATACTCATTATAAAAAATAAAATTCAAGTTGTATGATAGAATTAATAGAAATATTTTATTTTGAAGCTGAGATAATTTTCAGGGGACATACACAATTTAAAAAATGAAATGTCTGTATTTGTATGTGACTAAAAGTAAGTTATCAGTTTAAGAAAATGTTTTTGGTGTTAATAGATTAAATGGCAAGCACAACTATGCAGAGTATCATGAAAAATATTGACGAGTATAATTTTTTCCAAAAAGGAGATCTGCATTTGTAAAAAAAATTATTATAGTAGTTGCAGGTACGTTTTTGGTTTGTACCATTAGTTTTGATTTTTCTGATAATTAAAAAAAAAAAAAAAAAAAACCCTCAGAAGTCAACATTCATAGTTGAAGTGTTTGATTGGTAGACAGTTGGACTATATAACCTGTAAAACATTTATGTATCGTGGCATCAACTGCTTGATTTATTAGCAATTGGTTATCTATGTCCAGAATTATCGGAATGATTCGACAGTTTCAAGAATTTTTAATGATGCACAGTGTATTGATTACATAAAAATTCTGACACGTTTCGCTAGAAGCCATTCTGAAGTAACATAAAACTCAGCACCATCAGAAGTTACACTTATAACTCAGATACCATTGTAATCATTTTTAATTTTAAGTGAATTTGTCTACACTGGGCATCAGTAAACTAGTCATTCCAAAGTTTTGAGTTAAAATGTATAATTTCTATGGTTAAGATTCAAAACATTCGAATATGAAAAAGCTACAAGATTTGATGTTTGGAATTTAAAATCTTTGAAAATTTCTGAGATCTTAGGATTTGAGTAGGAAAATTAAAATGTAACTTATAATCTATTTCACATCTAATGAATTAATTTAGTTATTTAAAGCTAGATTTCATCTCAGTATGTTGGTCCTCATGTTAATTATCTGAGGGGAAAAACTGCAAACTTTTATGCAAAAGACTGAAAAAATTCATACAGGGAAATGTTTGCTTTTTCTCTTTGAAAGAAGAATGCTCAAGTGCATAGTACAATAATTCAAATTATATTTGTTTTATTGGGGACTTTTCTGAACACTGGGAAAGGGAAATAAAATTTATTTGTTGACATTTATGTTTAACCACATAGATCACATATAAAATGTGGAATTCTCATCAGTTTACTTCAAAAATGTCTTCATATTGAAAACCTGTCTTATTATTTTTTAAATAGTATAAATATGGATTTGCAGCTCTTGAACTTTCATGAAATCTACGGTGCGACTCCTGTTGTGGTGAAGTTTGGCCACCCCTGGTATATAAAGAAATTAAATGATTTGAAACACCATCCGCCATATAAAATCAACTTCATTTCTTTTAATAGTTCTTTCCTCCTTCCCTTGGCTAGCTTGTTTATGCATGATATGGGAGTACGTGTAAAGGAATCTGTGTAATAAGTAATGTGTTCTATAATTTAATTATTCTCTCTATATTATTACACATATAAATTAGAAGAAAAAAAGTTCATCCAATGAAATTTCTAAAGATGTGCTGTTTTTAAATAGTTTTCGCACAGTGTGATGTTAAGCCAAATGCTCTCGAAACGTGTGTGCCTGTAAATGAAACAAAAACACCCATTTATGCATTTCTTTTGTTTTTCTTTTAATTATTTCTTATTTTTAATCATTTTTTTAAATTTATAATAAGGTTCAAACTTAGGAAAGTTTGTGTAAAATTATGTACAGAATAAAATATGCAGTGAGGTAAAGTAGATTTTATACAAGAGATGCAGACATATCATTACATAATGGGTTAATGGTTGAAGAGTCATTAGGTTTTTTTTGGGGGGGGGAAGCTGGAGACATGAAAATTAGCAGTGCCTTCACTGGGACTTGAACCTGCACCTCTTGAATACATGCCAAGTGTGCTACCATTATACTATTAAAGCGTGCAGAAAGGAGGGAGAAAATACCATATATAGTTTCTATTAACAGTGCATTTTAAAACATTTTTAAACTAAATTGAAAACAATAATAATAGATAAAATAAGAATAAAATGATTCACGATCAAATGTAAGAAAAACCGTTTCCAAATGAGAAGAAGTAGCTTTTCTTTACAGTGGTTACAGGTGAGGTTCGAACCTGCAACCATTCCTTTTACAGTCCAGTGTGCTGATCACGCAACTATTTGTGACAGTAGTTTTCATGAAAAATAATGGAACAAAATGAAGTCATTGCAAAGGTAATTTAATTAATATTCAATAAACGAGTGCTTTATGACCCAAGTTGTAACTGTCCTCTGTTTATTTTAGATGTTGTTGTATTGTTGAAGGTAGTTTTTGGTGTATTTAATAGTGATTCTTATTACACACGAAATAGCAAACATTTGTCATAATTAAGAATATTGTAGAAAATAATTTATTAGGTTCCTATTACTTACACAGGTGAAGCATATGGATATGCTGGTCAGATCATTGCTTTAAAAATATATACATCTTTTCCCTTTAATGAGGATTTGAAATTTTTATCAATATATATGGTTTGAGAAAACTAAGGTTGCTGTAAATGATGCTGATTATTTTATTCCTGTGGACAGTTACAATCTCTTTAAACAAAAACTACGTGTTTCTGATGACGTATTGAAACGTGTAAACAAGAAATTTTTTCTGATGACATATTTAAACGAGTAAACAAGAAAAATGATGTGATGAGAACTCACTCAGCTATTTGGCTGTTTGTTTATGTCGCGGGTGAAAAAGCTAAACAACTCAGATTTACACCCTCTGCATAATGTGAAATTTATGCTGGTGGGAAAAAAAAAAAAAATAGCTGCAACTACATTGTGAGCATACTCATGTGGATGGGCCTGTAGTGTGTAATTTTCAGTAGAATTGCCAACCCTCCAGGTAAAACTGGGAGACCTCCCTTTTTTTGTATTACATCTCTGATTCTTCCTTTTAATCAGTAAATCTCCTGGTTTTTAATTTAGATAATCTATTTTATTCTTTCTAAAAGATTTGACTAGCTATAAAAAAGGAAAGGAAAATACTACCAAGATACTTTTTACGAAAAAGATATTTTGTAAAATTTTTTTAAACAGCATTGTCATCTTTTAATGAAACATATAGTGTGTAAATTCTTCCCCCTTCTTATTTTCAGCATAATTTTTTAGGTTAATTTTTATTCTGTCTGAACTGTTTCGGCCCATTGTAGAAATTAGCAGATCTATAAATGCTACATTACCAAATTGATCCATCCTCAAGGTTTTATTATTTTCAGTATATTCAAAAGTCATTTGATAAGTAAGAGTGTTTTCCCCCATATTCGGGGATTTCATCAGTGTAAAACTTTAAGGAAACAGAATAAAACATAGCAAAGTGTAATAAAAATATCCCCAAAATGTAAAATTTAGAATAACAAGTGAAATATAAAATACGCTAATCATGTTATTTTTTTAAAATGTGTTGCTGCACGACATAAGAATTCTTTGGTTTGCTGCACAACACGAAGAATTTCTTAGTTTTTATAGTTAAAGGTTAGCAGCTATGCTATAATAATGCAGTTAGAGCATAAATGCTTAAATATTAGGGTGTTTTTTTTTTTTTTTTTTCCTTTTTTCAAGAAGCTTTATTGCACTGATTTTTAATTACTTTTGTGTTTATCAGCTGGTGTTTCATCCACAAAATGGTGTAAAATACCTCACGACAAGTGCTGAATGTGGTATCCATCATTATTGACCATGAATATTAGGGAAGACCCAATAACAGGAATCATATTTCTTTTGGCATATTTAATACATTACAGGCTTGTGACACGAACAAGAACAAAAGGTAGTTAAGCTTGTTTTACAGATTTCTTATAATACAGTGGTGAAATGACTAAAATTTTAGGTGTGTTGAACACGCAGAATATTCTATGATCAGAACTAAATGTGGCCACCATAAGCAGCAACAACCATTTAGCCAGGCATAGAGTGAAAGAGACTTTGGTTGGCATTTTGAGACATTGCAATCCAATTGTGACACCATCCAATTGGTCAGGTAGGTTCATTTGGGGAAAGATCTTGTGAATAAGTAGGGAAAGGCAGACCAATAATCTTTTGTAAGTTGCTAGCTGTTCAGAGTGTCAGATATGCATACCAGATGCACGTAGAACTGTCATCCAAATATGCTCCATACTGTAACTCTCGATGTTGGGCATCAGGCAAGATTACAGGGACACTTTCCCCTGTGGCAACATATGTATACACATCTAATGATGATATGTGTAGCAGGTATGAGTGGGATTAAATAAAGAAGACAAAAGTCATGCCATTTTTATTGCTAAATGGTTTCTACACATGTTACATGATGGGATTAAGAAGACAGAAGTTTTTTTATTTATATTGCTAAATGCATTATTTAACACACTATTACAGCCACAGATGCCTGTGATGGCAGTACATAAAAAACTTATAAAATTTTGCATAAATTGTAACTTATGAATCCTAAGAAAATGAAATTGAGGCTTAAAAAATATCTAGAGTGAATTTAGAGGACTAGTATAAGCTTTATTCCACTGCCCCTGCAAGGCATTTTCTGCATGTAATTACCAATTGTTAATTATTTATTTATTTTTTTACTTTTTACACTTTAATGTGTATCTATAAAATTGGGTGCTTAAATGTAATTACTTAGGTTTGGAGTAAAAAGTTTCTGTAAAATATTAAATTTTTAGAAATAACAGCATAATGTTATAAAAGATCGTTAACTCAGCTGAAAAATGAAAATTCACAAAGTGATTACATTTATGCTTTAGATAATCTAAAAGGAACATGCTTCCTTAACCTGCGGAGATTGTTGATGTCAAATTATTACAAAAATGAAAGTAAGAAAATGCACAATGTATTGCCAAAAAAATTGTAATTAAACCTCCAGAGATTGTAGATGTCAAATTATTACAAAAATGACAGTAAAACGGCCTGTGCTAGAAAAATACTAATATAGATGAATTAATTCCAGGAATTTATTTAAAATAATTGCATACTGATATGCAATTTCGTCAGAGCTGATCTCATTGATCACTTTTACATCTCCAATGAAGAACGTATAGAACCTTTTTTTTCCTGAAACTTAGTTCCTTTATTTCAATCATTTAAAAGCATTTTTCTAATATTGGTTCTTCTGTTTGGCTTTTATATTCATTTGGTATCTCTGGTGCTTGCAGATTTAATTTTGATTTTCTGTATTTTTATGGTAATTTATTATTTTTCTTGATTACTACAAGTTAATTATTGTGATCAACATGGGAAAGGTTGAAGTTCAATTAAAAATTAATATTCCCTCCTCCCCTTTTATAAGAGGGAAACAGAAGCTAAAAATG